ACTTTTTTTGTTTTTAGTAGAGATGGGGTTTCACCATGTTGGCCAGAGTAGTCTAGAACTCCTGACCTCAAGTGATCTGCCCCCCTCATCCTCCCAAAGTGCTGAGATTACAGGAGTGAGGTACAGCACCTGGCTTCATGCTGAGATTTCTTTCATCAGCAGTTCAAAGACCTTTCACTTTTCAAGGCACAAGGAGAGAAATTCCATGCGTTGCCACTGGGAGGAAGGGGACAGACCTACTTAAAAGACTCAAAACTTCTATGACAGTAAAAGGAATGTATATCAAGTTCCTTAGGGCTGCCATAACAAAGTACCATTAAGTGGGTGGCTTAGAACAAAAGAAAATTGTTTTCTCACAGTTATGTAGGCCAGTTGAGATCAAGGTATTATCAAGGTCAAGATCCCTCTGTAGCCTCCGGGAGAGGATTCTTTCTTGCCTGTTTCCACTTCCAGCAGCTTCCTGTGTTCCTTGGTTTGTGGTGGTATAACTCCAATCTCTGCCTCCATCTCTAGCTGGCCATTGTGCCTCTATGTCTGTGAGGATACCAGTCATTGGTTGGAGGACTCACCCTATTCCACTATAATCTCTTCTTAACCAGTTAACTCACCCTATTCCAGATAAGATCATGTTCTCAGGTACTGAGGATTAGGACAGAATATCTTTTGGGGAGATGCAATTCATCCCATAAGTGGGTGGAAAAGGATGACTAACAAGTGTTATGTGGGGATGTATTGTTTTGCATCTACGTAGCTTTCAACCGATTTCTTTCCACAACACACATTTGTCACTCTATTCTGTATTAGGTTTATAGAGAAAAGTAGATCTTCAACTACTTTCCTGGGGTGTGGATACTGCTCTTTTTTTTGAGACAGGGTCTCATTCTGTCACCCAGACTGGTGTGCAGTAGCACTATCATGGCTCACTACAGCCTCAATGTCCCAGGCTTAAGTGATCCTCCCAGCCTCCTAAGTGGCTGGGACCACAAGTGTGTGCCACCACACCTGATTAATTTTATTTTTTAATTTTTTTGTGGAGACAGGGTCTCCCTATGTTTCCCAGACTGGTCTTGAATTCCTGGACTCAAGCCATCCTCCTGCCTCAGCCTCCCAAAGTGCTGGGATTACAGGCAAGAGCCACCATGCCTGGCCTTCAACTCTTGACCTTGTGAACACAGCCCTATACCTGTTCCCTTCATGCATGTGCCTGTACGCTAAACCCTTTCCCAAGTGTACATGGAAATCTGAACCCCAACAAATATGGCCTAATTCTGAATTTGACTTTCCCAGGAGTAATTTGTGTCATTTCCAGCTTACTAGCCTTTGTGACTGTTGAATTTCAGCATTTCTGTGTGCTTGCAGCAGAAGGTAGAGCCAGGGTAGAGTGGCTCAAGATGAGAGAGTTTCTTCCTTACCAGTTCAGTCAACTTTTCAGACCTGGATTTATAGCTTCCTACCTGCTCTCTTGAAGGGGAAATGGTCTATTCACCTTCAGACCATTTAACCTTGGGGTCTCACTGAGCAATCTATGGCTTAAGTCTTCTAAGTCTCTTAATGTCCAAATACAATGGACAATTTTCAGGTACATCTGACAACATTTCTCTGCAGCTTTTGGTACCAATAACCACTCCATGGCTTCCAGAATATGGTTGGTCATTTCTTTTTTGTTTATGAGTTTTTATCCTTCTTCTGCCTGTTAAATGCACCTGACCCCCAGTGTTCTGATTTTTACTATTTTTCTTAAAAAAAAAAAATTAAATATATTCTTATGAAAATATTAAAACATATACAAAAATAGAATAGACATTGATAATAGATCCTAAAATTCCTATGGAAATTCAGCAGAATGAGAATAGCTGATATAGTCTTCCAAAAGAAGATCATATTTGAAGTTGAGAAAGTTCTTGAATTCAACTTACTACAAAGCTATAGTAATCAAGACAGTGTAGTCCTGACATAAAGATAGGATTACAGTCTGGGTGTGGTGGCTCACACCTGTAATCCCAGCACTTTGGGAGGCTGAAGTGGACAGATCACCTGAGGTCAGGACTTCCAGACCAGCCTGACCAACATGGTGAAACCCCACCTCTACTAAAAATACAAAAATTGGCCAGGCATGGCGGCAGGTAACTGTAATCCCAGCTGCTTGGGAGGCTGAGGCAGAAGAATCACTTGAACCCGGGAGGCAGAGGTTGCAGTGAGCCAGGATCACGCCACTGCAATCCAGCCTGGGCAACAGAGTGAGACTCTGTCAAAAAAAAAAAAAAGGATTATAGCATAATGGGATAAAATTGGGACTCCAGAAATAAACTCTCACATTTATGGTAGATTGATTTTTGATAAGCGTGCCAAAACACTTCAATGAAAAAAGAGTCTTCTCAACAAGTGATGGTGAAACAACTGAATAACCACATTTTTGTTCTATCTGGGGCCCTGATTCAAAAACCCAGGCAAAGATGGAGAGAAATCAGAACTCTCATATACTGCTGATAGGACGGTAAAATGCTTACTTTGGAAAAGAATGTGGCTATTCCTCAAAAGGTTAAACAAAGTTACCATATGACCCAGCAAACCCACTCCTAGATATATAACCAAAAGAAATCAAAACATAAGTCCACAAAAAAGCTTGTACATAAATGTTTTTAGCAGCACTATTCCCAATAGTCATAAAGTAGAAACAAACCAATCTCCATCAGCTGATGAATGAAAAAATAAAATATGTTGTGGTATGTCCTTAAAATAGATATTATTGGTCCATGAAAAACATACATAAAAACATTATGCTAAATGAAAGAAGCCAGTCACGGCAAAGCAATGTATTATATGGGTTTATGAGTACTAAATGTTCCAAATAGAAAGTAGATTAATGATTGTCTGGGACTGGGAGGGAAGAAGGGGGAGAATGGAAGAACCTGAGAGGTGATGAATTAAGGGTACTGAATTAGGGGAACATAGTTTCTTTTTGGGGAGATAGAAAATGTTTTAAAATTTTGGTAATGGTTGCACATCTCTGTAAATATATTATAATCCATTACTTTTTGCATTTAATTTTATTTATTTTATCTTATTTTTGAGATGGAGTTTCGCTCTTGTTGCCCAGGCTGGAATGCAATGGCGCGATCTCGACTCATCACAACCTCCGCCTCTGGGGTTCAAGCGATTCTCCTGTCTCAGCCTTCCAAGTAGCTGGGATTACAGGTGCATGCCACCACACCCAGCTAATTTTTTTTTTTTTTTTGGATGAAGTTTCACACTTGTCTCCCATGCTGGCATGCGATGGCACGATCTCAGCTCACTGCAACCTCCGCCTCCTAGGTTCAAGCGATTCTCCTGCCTCAGCCTCTTGTGTAGCTGGAATTACAGGTGCCTTCCACCACACCTGGCTAATTTTTGTGTTTTTAGTAAAGATGGGGTTTCACCATGTTGGCCAGGCTGGTCTCGAACTCCTGACCTCAGGTGATCTGCCTGCCTCGGCCTCCCAAAGTGCTGGGATTACAGGCGTGAGCCACTGAGTCAGGCCAATTTTGTATTTTAAATAGATGAATTACATGGTATGCGAATTATATGTTACCAAAAATTGAATAAAAGGAATAGTACTATCAGCCCCAATGTGCCCACCATCAATATTCTACATTTTTCCAATGTTATTTTATCTGTTCGCCTACAGTTGAGGCCCTGATATCCTAAGTTTGATTTTCTTGAATTGCCAAAATTTGTATACACACTTACAAAAATAATGCCTGTTGAATTTGCTAAATATGTAAAGGTTTGGAGCAAATCAGGTGTATTAAATTTATTTATATGGTTTGAAATGTCTAAGGCAATAATTCCCAAACTTCATTGAGAGAAGAGGAAAGCTTTTAAAATCTCGTTGCCGAGGTGGCATCCTGTTACTGGGAATTCTGCGTTGGGATGGAGACTTTAACTGAGGAGATTATTAGAGCCGGAGCTCTGAACCAGCAATCTCAGTTCTTGTGATAGTGAGCAAAGAACTACAAACTAACACCAAAATGCAAGTTTAAAGCGAAGTTTATTGAAGCATAATAATACACTCACAGAGGGAGAGTGGGCTGATTTCTGCAAAGTGAAATCGGCACCTCTTTACAGAGCTTAAGGTGCTTTTATGGGGTTTGTGGGGAGGAGTTGAGGTTTGGGCTGTGTCTGAGTGACAGGATGATGTTATGTGATTGAATTTGATAGCTATATAAACTAAAATTAAACTGCGCATGTGCTTACCTATCATTCGTTAAGAAAAGCCTCCCAAGGATGGGGGGCAAAACTGTATGTAAATTCTATTATAATGATGGTCATGGGTAATATAATGAAGGACAGGGTTTTGTGTTATTGGGCATGCACCACTTTAGGGAATTTCCACCTGTACCCTCCTTTCTCTTTCTCCAGGATATTTTGGCCACAGACTTCATCATAAACTCCATCCCTTAGGGTGGCGTTAGGGTAGTCTTGGGCCTGAACTTAGGTGAGCCAGTGGCTGTCTTAGTGACCGCCTTTCTGCTGTCTTCTGTCGTCCCTTCCCAGCTGCTAATGTCTAACTACCTACCAATTACCCATTAAATCAGTGTATCTGGGGTTAGGAGCAGGCCTCAATATGTTTAATCATTTTCCAAGTCATCCCAATACTGTAAAGTTTGTGAAAAACTTGTCAGATAATTCAATTATGAAGGCTGTGGAAGGTGTTTCAGTAGGATCTAATTGGTTAACGTTATGATTTAATTAATTTGAATCAAAAAACAAAATGAAAAAGCTTTATATTTCTAAATCAAATAAGACACAAGTTGGTCTAAGGTCGAGATAAAATTTTTAAATGTATAATTGAATTTTGAAAATAATAAATATTTAAATATCTAAAGTTTACATCAGAACATTGCCAAGATACTTTCCCCAATCAGCAACATCCCTTCAGGATTTAAAAACCAAGGGGGACACTGGATCACCTAGAGTTTCACAAGCAGGTACCTTTTGCTGTAGGAGAGAGAGAATTAAAGTTCTGAAGACCTATTGCTTTTCACCAGGAAGTTTTACTGGGCATCTCCTGAGCCTAGGCAATAGCTGTAGGGTGACTTCTGGAGCCATCGCCGTTTCCCCGCCCCACCAAAGAAGCGGAGACTTAAAGGGGACGTGCAGTCAGAGCTGGGGAAATGGGCCCGCGAGCCAGGCCGGCGCTTCTCCTCCTGATGCTTTTGCAGACCGCGGTCCTGCAGGGGCGCTTGCTGCGTGAGTCCGAGGGCTGCGGGCCAACGAGGGGCGCGGCGGGGGTGGAAAAATCGAAACTAGCTTTTCTTTGAGCTTGGGAGTTTGCTAACTTTGGAGGACCTGCTCAACCCTATCCGCAGTCCCCTCTCCCTACATTCTGCGTCCAGACCCCGGGAGGGAATGCCTGCCACTGAGCTGCATATGGGGGTCCCTCGCCCCAGGACCTGCCCCCTCCCCCGGCTGTCCCGGCTCTTCGGAGTGACTTTTGGAACCGCCCACTCCCTTCCCCCAACCAGAATGCTTTTAAATAAATCTCGTAGTTCCTCACTGGAGCTGAGTTAAGCCTGGGGCTCCTTGGACCGGGATCTCGGGTTTATTTCCAATGTCAGCTGTGCGGTTTTTTCCCCAGTCATCTCCAAACAGGAAGTTCTTCCCTGCTTGCTTGCCGAGAAGGCTGAGCGAACCCACAGCAGGATCCGCACTGGGTTTCCACCTCGGAACGAATGCGCTGGGTGGTGGGGGCGCGGAAGAGTGGGGTTGGGGATCTGAATTCTTCACCATTCCACCCACTTTTGGTGAGACCTGGGGTGGAGGTCTCTGGGGTGGGAGGCTTCTGAGAGAGGCCTACCTCGGGCCTTTCCCCGCTCTTGGCAATTGTTCTGTTGCCTGGAAAATTGAGTATATGTTAGTTTTCAACGTTTGAACTGAACAGTTCTCTTTTCAGGCACGCTTTATTGATTAGCAGTGTGCTGTGTAATTAAGTCCTCTAAAGAACGTCAAAGTACTGATAATGAACATGTAAGCAATGCACTCAGCTGTAAGTTACATTCATATCTGATCTTACTTGATTTTCACTATGCATAGGGAGGTAGGAGCTAATAATATGTTTATTTACTAGAAGTTAACTGGAATTCAGATTAAATAACTCTTTTCAGGTTACAAAGTATATAAGTAATCAAGTTTTCTGATATTATTTCAAGTACTATAGCTACTTCTAATCTTAGTTGACAGTGATTTTGCCCTGTAGTCTAGCACAGTGTTCTGTGGGTCAAACACCGGCCTCAGCACAGCACTTTGAGTTTTGGTACTTTGTGTATCTACATTTTACACATGACAAGAATGAGGCATGCACGGCCTGCTTCCTGGCACGTTTATTCAATGGTACACTGGGCTTTGGTGGCAGAGCTCATTTCTCCACTTCATAGTTATGATTCTTAAACATCACACTGCATTAGAGGCTGCATAATAAAATTTCAGGTTGAGCGGAAATATTCATTGTTTACAAGTGTAAATGAGTCCCAACCATGTGTTGCACTGTTCAAGGCCCAAGGGAGAGAGCAGGGAAACAAGTCTTCACCCTTTGATATTTTGCATTCTAGTGGGAGAGATGACAATAAGCGAATGAGCAGAAACATATGCAACATCAGGAAACGATGGGTGTTGTGAGAAGCAGAGAAGTCAGGACAAGTCACTCTGGGGCTGACACTTGAGCAGAGACATGAAGGAAATAAGAATGAGATTGACTGGGAGCAGTATTTCCCAGGCAAACTGAGTGGGCCTGGCAAGTTGGATTAAAAAGCAGGTTTTCTCAGCACTACTCGTGTGTGTGTGTGTGTTGGGGGTGGGAAGGGGGACTACCATCTGCATGTAGCATGTCCAGCAGTATCCTGTTGTCTCTACTCACTTGGTGCTAGGAGCACTCATCCTCCCTACTCACTAGGTGCTAGGAGCACTCCTCCAGTCTTGACAACCAAAAATGTCTCTAAACTTTGCCACATGTCACCTAGGAGACAAACTCCTGGTTGAGAAGCTCGGGTTGAAAAAAAAACAAGTAGTGCTGGGGGTTAGAGGCCAAGAAGTAGGTAATGGGTTCAGAAGAGGAGCCACAAACAAGGTCGTGCAGGTGCCTGTAGGTTGTGGTGTGAATTCTAGCCAAGGAGTAACAGTGATCTGTCACAGGCTTTAAAAAGATTGCTCTGGCTACTATGTGGAAAGCAGAATGAAGGGAGCAACAGTAAAAGCAGGGAGCCCATCCAGGAAGCTGTTACACAGTCCACACAAGAGATGGTGGAGTGGGCTGGGTGGGAACATAAAAGGGAGTGAGAAACCGTTGTCTCCTGAATATATTCTGAAGGAAGTTGCTGAAGGATTCTATGTTGTGTGAGAGAAAGAGAAGAATTAGCTGGGTGTGGTAGCTCATGCCAAGGAGTAGGCCAAGGAGGGCAGATTCTTGAGCTCAGGAGTTCAAGACCAGCCTGGGCAACATGGCAAAACCCCTTCTCTACAAAAAATACAAAAATTAGCCGGGTGTGGTGGCATGCACCTGTGATCCTAGCTACTAGGGAGGCTGAGGTGTGGGGGATTGCTTGAGCCCAGGAAGTTGAGGCTGCAGTGAGCCATGATTGTGCCACTATACTTCAGCCTAGATGACAGAGCAAGATCCTGTCTCCCCCCATCCCCTGAAAAAAGAGAAGAGATAAAGTTGACTTTGTTCTTTATTTTAATTTTATTGGCCTGAGCAGAGGGGTAATTGGCAATGCCATTTCTGAGATGGTGAAGGCAGAGGAAAGAGCAGTTTGGGGTAAATCAAGGATCTGGATTTGGACATGCTAAGTTTGAGATTCCAGTCAGGCATCCAAGTGGTGAGGCCATATAGGCAGTTCAGTGTAAGAATTCAGGGCCAAGGCTGGGCTCGGTGGCTCACTACTGTAATCCCAGCACTTTGGGAGGCTGAGGCAGGCCGATCACTTGAGGTCAGGAGTTTGAGACAAGCTTGGCTAACATGGTGAAACCCCATGTCTACTAAAAATACAAAAATTAGCCTGGTGTGGTGGCACATGCCTATAGTCCTAGGTTTTCAGGAGGCTTAGGCAGGAGAATCCCTTGAATCCAGGAGGTGCAGGTTGCAGTGAGCTGAGATTGTGCCACTGCACTCCAGCCTGGGCGATAGAGTGAGACTCAGTCTCAAAAACAAACAAACAAACAAACAAAAAACCTGAATGAATTCCTCAGGATTTGGGTCTAATTTGCTCTGAGCACCAACTCCTGAGTTCAACTACCATAGCTAGAGACACCTTAACATTTTCTAGAATCCACCAGCTTTAGTGGAGTCTATCTAATCATGAGTATTGGAATAGGGTCTGGGGGCAGTGAGGGGATGGCAGCCATGTGTGGCAGAGAAAGGCACACAAGGAGAGAGCAGCCAGGACTGTCAAATGGAAGAAAGACGGGACTGCAACTCACCCTTCACAATATGAGGACCAGACACAACTGATGGTATGAGTTGATGCAGGTGTGTGGAGCCTCAACATCCCACTCCCCTCCTATTGCACATGGTGAAAGCCTGTTGCTCTGTCTCCAGGTTCACACTCTCTGCACTACCTCTTCATGGGTTCCTCAGAGCAGGACCTTGGTCTTTCCCTGTTTGAAGCTTTGGGCTATGTGGACGACCAGCTGTTCGTGTTCTATGATCATGAGAGTCGCCGTGTGGAGCCCCGAACTCCATGGGTTTCCGGTAGAACGTCAAGCCAGATGTGGCTGCAGCTGAGTCAGAGTCTGAAAGGGTGGGATCACATGTTCACTGTTGACTTCTGGACTATTATGGAAAATCACAACCACAGCAAGGGTATGTGGAGAGGGGGCCTTACCTTCTGGAGGTTGTCAGAGCTTTTCATCTTTTCATGCATCTTGAAGGAAACAGCTGGAAATCTGATGTCTTGTGGGAGCAGGGAAGAGGGAAGGAATTTACCTCCTGAGGTCATTTGGTCCTTGGGGATGGTGGAAATAGGGACCTACTCCTTTGGTTGCAGTAACAAGGCTGGGGATTTTTCCAGAGTCCCACACCCTGCAGGTCATCCTGGGCTGCAAAATGCAAGAGGACAACAGTACCGAGGGCTTCTGGAAGTACGGGTACGATGGGCAGGACCACCTTGAATTCTGCCCTGACACACTGGATTGGAGAGCAGCAGAACCCAGGGCCTGGCCCACCAAGCTGGAGTGGGAAAGGCACAAAATTCGGGCCAGGCAGAACAGGGCCTACCTCGAGAGGGACTGCCCTGTGCAGCTGCAGCAGTTGCTGGAGCTGGGGAGAGGTGTTTTCGACCGGCCAGGTATGGTGGAAACACACTTCTGCCCCCATACTCTAGTGGCAGAGTGGAGGAGGATGTAGGGCATGGAATCCCTGGTTAGAGTTTCAGAGGTGGCTGAGGGTGTGTGCCTCTCCAAATTCTGGGAAGGGACTTTCTCAATCCTAGAGTCTCTACCTTATAATTGAGATGTATGAGGCAGCCACAAGTCATGGGTTTAATTTCTTTTCTCCATTCATATGGCTCAAAGGGAAGTGTCTGCAGCCCTTGCTTTTTATTTAACCAATAATCCTTTGTATATGTATACCTGTTAAGAATTCAGAAATGTCAAGGCCAGGCGCGGTGACTCACCCTTGTAATCCCAGCAATTGGAGGCCAAGGCGGGTGGATCATGAGGTCAGGAGTTCGAGACCAGCCTGACCAACATGGTGAAACCCATCTCTAAAAAAATACAAAAATTAGCTGGGTGCAGTCATGCGTGCCTGTAGTCCCAGCCAATTGGGAGGCTGAGGAAGGAGAATCGCTTGAACCCGGGAAGCAGAGGTTGCACTGAGCTGAGATCATGCCACTGCACTCTAGCCTAGGCAACAGAGTGAGACTCCATCTTAAAAAAAAAAAAAAAGAAAAGAGAGAATTCAGAGATGTCAGCTATCATATGAATACCAGGACAAAATATCAAGTGAGGCCACTTATCAGAGTAGCAGAATGCTTTAGGTTAAAAGTTTCTTTCACAGAACATAGCAATAATCACTGAAGCTACCTATTTTACAAGGCCCCTTCTTATAACAATGCCTCCTAGGTTGACCCAGGTGAAACTAACCATCTGTATTCAATCGTTTTCAATGCACATAAAGAGAAATTTTATCTATCAGAACAAAGAACATAGGTAACTGATATGTATATTTACATGTTAGGAGAACAAGCTGATCTGACTGCGCTCCAAGTGACACTGTGTTATAGCCCAATCTTAGGACACAAAATGGTGTCTCTCCTGTAGTTTGTTTTTTTTCTGAAAAGGGTATTTCCTTCCTCCAACCTATAGAAGGAAGTGAAAGTTCCAATCTTCCTGGCACGGGTAAACAGATCCCCTCTCCTCATCCTTCCTCTTTCCTGTCAAGTGCCTCCTTTGGTGAAGGTGACACATCATGTGACCTCTTCAGTGACCACTCTACGGTGTCGGGCCCTGAACTACTACCCCCAGAACATCACCATGAAGTGGCTGAAGGATAGGCAGCCAATGGATGCCAAGGAGGTCGAACCTAAAGACGTATTGCCCAATGGGGATGGGACCTACCAGGGCTGGATAACCTTGACTGTACCCCCAGGGGAAGAACAGAGATATACTTGCCAGGTGGAGCACCCAGGCCTGGATCAGCCCCTCCTTGCTTTCTGGGGTATGTGACTGATGAGAGCCAGGAGCTGAGAAAATCTATTGGGGGTTGAGAGGAGTGCCTGAGGGGGTAATTATGGCAGTGAGACAAGGATCTGCTCTTTGTTAGGGGGTGGGCTGGGGGTGGCAATCAATGGCTTTAACTTGCTTTTTCTGTTTTAGAGCCCTCACCATCTAGAACTCTAGTCATTGGAGTCATCAGTGTAATTGCTGTTTTTGTCATCATCTTGTTCATTGGAATTTTGTTCATAATATTAAGGAAGAGGCAGACTTCAAGTGAGTAGGAACAAGGAGAAGTCTCTTAGTATCTCTGCCCCAGAGCACAGTGGGAAGAGGGGCAGAGGGGATCTGACATCCATGGGAAGCATTTTTCTTATTTATATTCTTTGGGGACACCAGTAGCTCCTTGGGAGACAGAAAATAATGGTTCTCCCTAGAATGAAAGTCTCTAATTCAACAAACATCTTCAGAGCACCTACTATTTTGCAAGAGCTGTTTAAGGTAGTGCAGGGGCTTTGAGATTGAGAAGTCACTGTGGCTATTCTCAGAACCCAAATCTGGTAGAGAATGAAAATTATAGCAAGTGAATGTAGTTAAAGAAGACCCCATGAGGTCCTAAAGCAGGCAGGAAGCAAATGCTTAGGATGTCAAAGGAAGGAATGACCACATTCAGCTGGGGATCAAGAAAGCCTTCTGGATCTTGAAGGAGAAGCTTGATTCCATTAGGTGAGGTTGAAGATGATGGGAGGTCTACACAGACGGAACAACCATGCCAAGTGGAAGAGTATAAGGCATACTGGGAGGTTAGAACTAATTACTCTACCTTAACCCCGAGTTTGCATAGCTATCGCTCACCAATTATGCATTTCTACTCCCTGAACATCTGTGGTGTGGGGAGAAGAGAGGCAGAAAGAAGCCAGCTCATACAGAGTCCGAGGGTCTTTGGGGATATTGGGTTATGATCACTGGAGTGTCACTGAAGGATCCTAAGAAAGGAGGACCATGATCTCCCTTATATGGTGAATGTGTTGTTAAGAAGTCAGATGGGAGGTGAGGAGACCAGTTAGAAAGCCAATAAGCATTCCCAGATGAGAGATAATGGTTCTTGAAATCCAGTAGTGCCCAGGTCTAAATTGAGATGGGTGAATGAGGAAAATAAGGAACAGAGAAGAGGCAAGATGATGCCTAGGTTTGTGATGCCTCTTTCCTGGTTCTCTTGTGTCCACAGGAGGAGTCATGGGGCACTACGTCTTAGCTGAACGTGAGTGACACGCAGCCTGCAGACTCATCGTGGGAAGGACACAAAACTAGAGATTCAAAAAGGGAGTGCACTTATGGAGCTCTTCATGTTTCAGGACAGAGTTGAACCTAAACATAGAAATCGCCTGAAGAACTCCTTGCTTTTAGCTTTCTCTGTTCATTTCCTCAAAAATATTTCCCCATTTAGGTTTCTGATTCCTGCACGCCAGTGATCCCCAGCTGTGACCTCTCCCCTGGAACTGCCTCTCATGAACCTCAAGCTGCATCTGCTTCCTTCATTTCCTCCATCACCTCAGACACATACACCTATGTCATTTCATTTCCTATTTTTGGAAGAGGACTCCTTAAATTTGGGGGACTTACATGATTCATTTTAACATCTCAGAAAAGCTTTGAATCCTGGGACATGGCTAGTCATAACCTTACCAGAATTTTACATATGTATCTAGGCATTTTCTGGACCCGTTCTACTTTTCCTTTGAATCGTCCCTCTGTGTTACCCAGTAACTCATCTGTCACCAAGCCATGGGGATTCTTTCATCTGATTGTTATGTGAGTTGTAGGCTGTACACTGCACGAATGGAAGAGGCACCTTTCCCAGAAAAAGCATCATGGCTGTCTGTGGGTATTATGATGGGTGTTTTTAGCAGGTAGGAGGCAAATATCTTGAAAGGGGTTGCGAAGAGGTGTCTTTTTCTAATTGGCATGAAGGTGTCATACAGGTTTGCAAAGTTTAATGGTGCCTTCATTTGGAATGCTACTCTAGTATTGCAGACCTGAAGTATAACAATAATTTTCTCCCTGATCTCTCCTTGTTCTGATAATGAAAATTATAAGGATGATGATAATGATGATAAAAGCACTTACTTTGTGTCCCACTCTTCTGAGCACCTACTTACATGCATTATTGCATGCAATTCTTACAATAATTCTATGAGATAGGCACTATTATCTCAATTTCTTTTTTAGATGAAGAAAGTGAAGTAGGCCAGGCACGGTGGCTCACGCCTGTAATCTCAGCACTTTGGGAGGCTGAGGCGGGTGGATCACGAGGTCAGGAGATCCAGACCATCCTGGCTAACACAATGAAACCCCGTCTCTACTAAAAATACAAAAAAATTAGCCGGGCCTGGTGGCAGGCACCTGTAGTTCCAGCTACTGGGGAGGCTGAGGCAGGAGAATGGCATGAACCCGGGAGGCAGAGCTTGCAGTGAGCGGAGATCTCGCCACTACACTCCAGCCTGAGTGATAGAGTGAGACTCTGTCTCAAAAACAAAAGGAAAGAAAAACGAAAATAGAGTATCACACAGCTTGCCAGTGATAGAAACAGGTTTCAAACTCAGTCAATCTGACCGTATGATACATCTCACACACCACTACATTCAGGTAGTTTAGATGCCTAGAGTAAATAGAGACGGAAGGAGATGGCTCTTCTATTGTCTCATTGTGTTTCTTCTGAGTGAGCTTGAATCACATAAAGGGAAACAGCAGAAAACAACCAGCTGATCCTCAGCTGTCATGTTTCCTTTAAAAGTCCCCAAGGGAAGGTCCTGGAATGTGACTCCCTTGCTCCTCTGTTACTCTCTTTGGCATTCATTTCTTTGGCCCCTACGCAAGGACTGTAATTGGTGGGGACAGCTAGTGGTCCTGCTGGGCTTCACACACACTGTCCTCCCTAGGCCAGTGCCTCTGGAGTCAGAACTCTGGTGGTATTTCCCTCGATGAACTGGAGTAAACTCTCTCATTTTGAGATGATAAATGGAAGCCACCAAGTGGATTAGAGGATGCCCAGGCCCTGTCATGGGGCCACTGGGGTTCCAGTGCACATTAGAAAAAAAAAAAAAAAACTAAGCAGGACACTCAGGAATTGCTAGTTTCTGGGAAATCAGTTCACCATGTTCAAAAGAGTCTTTTTTTTTTTTTTTTTTTGAGACTCTATTGTGCAGACTGGAGTGCAACAACGTGATCTCAGCTCACTGTAACCTCTGCCTCCCAGGTTTAAGAGATTCTCCTGCCTCAGCCTCACGAGTAGCTGGGATTACAGGCATGCACCACCATGCCCAGCTAAGTTTTGCATTTTTAGTAGAGACGAGGTTTCACCATGTTGGCCAGGCTGGTCTCGAACTCCTGATCTCGTGATCTGCCCGCCTCGGCCTCCGAAAGTGCTGGGATTACATGCATGAGTCACCCTGCCCGACCATCAAAAGAGTCTTAATATATATATCCAGATGACATGTGTTTACTTTATGTTGCTACGTGCATTTGGCTGCATAAATGTGGTACAAGCACTCTGTCTTGAAGGGCAGGTGCTTCAGGATACCAGGTACAGCTCAGAAGTTTCTTTTGTAGGCATTAAATTTTAGCAAAGATATCTCATCTCTTCTTTTAAAAAATTTTCTTTTTTGCTGGTTAGAAAAGTTATGTAGAAAAAAGGAAATGTCATTTATGCTCATTGTAGAAAAGCTAAAAAATGAATACAATTAAAGCTGTTATTTAATTAGCCAGTGATAAACTATTAAAAACTTGTCTATTACCTGTTAGTATTATTGTTGCATTAAAAATGCATATACTTTAATAAATGTACATTGTATTGCATACTGCATGATTTTATTGATGTTCTTGTTCATCTTGTGTATATACTTAATCGCTTTGTCATTTTGAGATATTTATTTTGCTTCTAATTTCTTTACATTTTGTCTTATGGAATATTTTCATTCAACTGTGTTAGCCGAATTAATTGTTTTTCTTCACACTAGGGACATTGTCGTCTAAGTTGTAAGACATTGGTTATTTTACCAACAAACCATTCTGGAAGCATATGACAAATTCTTTCTCTCTTAATATGGTACCATACTGAAAGCAGACTGCTATAAGGCTTCACTTACTCTTCTACCTCATAAAGAATATGTTACAATTAATTAATTAGGTAAGCATTTGTTTTATATTGTTTTTATTTCACCTGGGCTGAGATTACAAGAAACACCCCAGTCTTCATAGTAACACATTTCGGTAACATATTTACTAAACATCAGCAACTGTGGCCTGTTAATTTTTTTAATAGAAATTTTAAGTCCTCATTTTCTTTCAGTGTTTTTTAAGCTTAATTTTTCTGGCTTTAATCATAAATTCTTAAGGTCAACTACATTTGAAAAATCAAAGACCTCATTTTAAATTCTTACTCACCTCTGGCAAAACCACTCACAGACCATGGGGGTAAAGAGAAGTGTGACACCTGGTGGCCACAAGTAAACATACCACGGTGGTCCGGCGACCAGAGGTGCAGAGCTGAGGGTTTTCCTGAGGGTAAAGGAATAAACAGTGGGTGGAGGGATGTGCACTAAAAATCACTTGTAGAGAAAAGCCCCTGAAAATTTCAGAAAACAAACAAGAAACTACTTACCAGCTATTTGAATTGCTGGAATCACAGGCCATTGCTGAGCTGCCTGAACTGGGAACACAACAGAAGGAAAACAAACCACTCTGATAAGAATTCAGTCAAGTACAGCAGATGATTGAGGACTGCTGAGAGGTACAGGCCAAAATTCTTATGTTGTATTATAATAATGTCATCTTATGACATTATATAATACTTATGACATTATATAATAATGACATTATATAATATAACATATTATATAATATGACATCATATAACATCTTATGACATTATATAATAATGTCAGTATTGTATAAACATTATTCATAAACTTACATACATTTAAAAACAAAACACTGTCTCTAAAATCCCGAAATTTCTCATAAGCTATCAGTTTTAAACGAACATTTTTCAAACCACAATCTGATTTAACCATGACCATCACTTAAATATTACTGACTTTCAAATTAAAGATTTTCACATACAGGCTGATATTTTTAATTGCGATTCTCTCTGTAGGCTTTGGGTATAATGTGTTCTTTTCCTTTTTTGCATCGGTGATTAACTTCTACACTGTAACATGTAGAATGTTAATACAATATTAAAGTATTTTGTATGACAATTTTATTTGAAAGCCTAGGATGCCTTGACATCCTGCATACATTTATTACTTGATATGCATGCATTCTGTTATCTCAAGCATTCTATTTCTGAGTAATTGTTTAAGGTGTAGAAGAGATAGATATGGTAGATTTGGGGTGGATACTTACATATTTTCTATTTCTTGGATGAATGAATTTGTATATTAAAAGTTTTCCATGGCAGAAATATTTCCAAAGACTTTTTTTTTCCAGTATGGATTGAAGGCCCTGATTTCACCACAGTGCAATATATCAATGTAGCAAAATTGTACTTGTACCCCATGAATATATATAATTTAAAAAACTATTTTTTCCAGCCAATTATTATTACTTACTAGATATTAGGCTCTGTTCTGAATATTAATTTAATTCCTCCAAAGAATCTTATGAGATAGGTAGGAATAATTGCTTCTATTCTGTTATCCTTATGTTGCTGTTATGAAACCAAGGCACAGAAAGGTTAGTTAACTTACTGAAGAAGATGATTGTGCTAGATTTTTATTCTAGCCATTCTGGAATAACAACTACATAACCTTGTCTGAGCCAAGGAAACATATGGTGTGGCAACTGTTACCATCTTTTTAGGAATAGCAGCACTCCTAATGTTTGCTGCAGGGAAAAAGGAATCTCAGAATTTGCCTGATCCCTATGATTTTTTTCCTAAATATTTTGAAATATCTTTTAGATGTATTTTAAAATTTAAGGATGTTTTGTTCCATTCATACAGAATTTTTTTTTTTTCTTCCTTGAGACAGAGTCTCACTCTGTCACCCAGGCTGGAATGCAGTGGCATGATCTCAGCTCACTGCAACCTCTGCCTACTGGGTTCAAGCGATTTTACTGCCTCAGCCTCCTAAGCAGCTGAGACTACAGGCACACACCACCATATACGCCTAATTTTTTTGTATTTTTAGTAGAGATGGAGTTTCACCATGTTGGCCAGGCTGGTCTCGAACTCCTGACCTCAAATGAGCCGCCCTCCTCGGCCTCCCAAAGTGCTGGGATTACAGGTGTGAGCCACTGCTCCCGGCCAAATTTTTAACTTGTTTTGTTATTGTTAAAACAGGTCTCAGTCTGACACCAAGGCTGGTATGCAGTAGTGCCACCATGGCTCACTGCAGTCTCAACCTCCTGAGCTCAAGTGATCCTCTCACCTCAGCCTCCCGAGTAGCTGGGACCACCACGCCTGGCTCATGTTTTTCTGTTATTTATTGAAACGAGTTCTGGCTATGTTGTCCAGGCTGGTCTTGAACTCCGGAGCCCCGGTGATCCACCCGCCTCAGTGTCCGAAAGGTTTATCAGGCGTGAGACACCGTCCCCGGCCAGATTTCTAACTTTTGAATTCACATATTCATTTATTCTTTTTATCATTCAGGAAGAAATGTGGGGATGGGTAGCCTTGAAGCATAATCCACCAAGTTATTTTACACACTAGATTTAGATACAAAGTATTTTTTTATTTTTATTTTTTAAATCAAATTCTAACTTTTACTCTGAAGATTCTAAAAAGAATTTTGGAGTCTTTAATTCATACTTTGGGGGCAGAGGTATAAGTACCAATATTTGTATAACTTATAACTTTCAGTGCAAGTCACGTAAGCTAACGTTAGTCTATTGAGTTAAATATCCTTGATTTATTCCTTAAACTGAGTCACCACATCGGCACTTTTTTTTTTTTTTTTTTTTAGACGGAGCCTTGCCTTGTTGCCCAGGCTGGAATGCAGTGGCGCGATCTCAGCTCACTGCAACCTCCGCCTCCCGGGTTCAAGCGATTCTTCTGCCCCAGCCTCAAAAGTAGGTGGGACCACAGGCACACGCCACCACGCCCGGCTAAATTTTGTATTTTTAGTAGAGACAGGGTTTCACCATTTTGGTTAGGCTGGTCTCAAACTCCTGACCTCGTGATCCGCCTACTCCAGCCTGCCAAAGTGCTGGGATTACAGGCGTGAGCCACCGCACCCGGCCGAATGGCACTTTCATAAAACAGCAAATAACCAACTTCACTACTGCCCCAAGAGATTTACTATGTATATGAGGGCATCTGTTTTAAGTATGAGTATAATGTTACACAAAGAAGTGTAAGATTGGGTTCACAATTTCATCATTAAAACAAGTATAAAATACTTTGTGCTTTCTGTGTGCTATTAAGGAAGTATTCAAGGGAATTTTGAAAATCATATTTAATTACTATCATGTTTGTAAAATTTTTGAAACAAATGTTTAAGAGAGGATAATGTTAAAAATTATCTTTCCAGCCAGACCTGTTGGCTCACGCCAGTAATCCTAGCATTTTGGGAGGACAAGGTGGGCAGATCGCTTAAGCCCAGGAGTTCAAAACCAGCCTGGACAACATAGGGAAAGCCCATCTCTACAAAATACACAAAATTAGTCAGGTGTGGTCGTGCACAACTGTAGTCCCAGCTACTTGGGAGGCTGAGGTGGGAGGAGCACTTGAGCCCAGGGAAGTGTAGCTACCATGAGCCATCATGGTGCCACTGCATTCCAGTCTGGGAAAACAAAAAACAAAACAAAACAAAAAAACAAGAAAAGAAAAAGAAAAGAAATTTTCTGTCGAAATATCTTTATTTTTAACAAATCAAAATGTATTAATACTGTTTATGGGAGAGTGCCCACACAAGTACAGCAAGCCTAGGAAGTTCAAGTTAAGAAACCTTTTAGTAAAAGAATTTAAACTGAAAAGAAAAAGCAGAGATTTTTTCCTAGAATAGTAAGGAGTGGAGGTAAAAAAAAAAAACCCAGCAGAGACATAGGTTATCCTACAGAACCAAAGATGTGCCAATGGAAATGACAGTTTAATTCAGAAAAAAATAAACCAGAAAAATGGGTATTTTAAGATTGAGTATGCCTGAATTCTTCCCAGAGTGGAAAAATCCATTTTAAATATATATATATATACACCCTTTAATATTTGTTCTAACATTCATTGTTTTTGAGTCACTATCATTGAGAAAAGTTTAGAAAGGAGATATTAGGAGCAGGAAATAGAAAGTAAATAAAGTATCAAAATAAAAATGGGGTTGTATAAATAATATAATAGGCAAAATAAAGGAAAGGCATCCTAGACCTCTGGTTTAAATGAAGATGGCACTTGGCGAGATGAGTTCCAGGGTAGTTCACATGAGGTATGTTTTCAGAGAATTGTCATATTGCATATGCTGCTATATTTTTTATTTTCATGAATTAAAAGGCATGTTGAGATTTCAGAGTTTTACTTATGATCTTGGACTCTGCACTTTTTCTCTGTAATGTTTGACATTTGTTCCTAGCTAAGTCTCTAGTTATAAGGTATGTGTTATGGCATGTGGATAGTGAGTGGAAAAATCTAATAACTCAATTTGGGTCGGAAGAATGTAATCAATTATTTCAGAAGTGATAGAAACAATATGACATTGAGAGCATTCTGGCCTTTCCTGGGTCTTTTTTCTCCATTTCTGGATTTCTTTTCATGCGAGCAAGTCTGAGGTTACTATATGATGTCTCTCACAGGCCACAGTTCATTATAAATATTACCAATGGATATTCATTTATTAACCAGAGGTGGGTGGGGTTGGGTTTTTGTTTTTTAAACAAAAGCGGATCTTATGGGCATTCTGGAAAGCTCTGGCAGGAAGCTAAGAATAAAATTTTGAATTGAGAAGTCCCTTTCTTCAAATCACATTCAGACCCAATTCTGCAATTCTATTTATTTTTCAAGGGGATTAGCCTTATTTTAACACCAATAATCTTATCACGAAAACCTCCCAGAGGAAGACCCTGTAGACTTTGTAATGACCTTAATCAAGTATTAGCCCTACACTTCAATTAATCCCCAACTGTACAAAACGTATGTTCTTTTCTCTAAAGCTGGAGCAAGTTGAAAGGGGATTAAAAATGGTGGGAAGGGAAGAGTGTTTGGAATTTCAGGCACACCAGACAGGCACAGCAGGCCAGGAAGAGCGTCCTGGGAAAACATTTTTTCCAGACTTAAGTTTATGTTCCCTATCTCTCTCACAGACTTTTGCACAAAAATAAGTCATTCAATAAATATTTGAATCGAGATAGGGAAGGTGACGAAGAAGAAGTTTGCACTTATGAGGTTTTCATTTGCAATTATTTGGCTATCTTTTTGCCTTCTCAAACATAGGATCTTTAGGAGTGAAACTTCATAGCCAAACTTATACTTTGTCCAGCACAGAGAAAACCATCAAAATGCCTGGTGTAAATAAAAATATTGAAATGATTGGGAGGTTAAGTCCCTTGACCTATAAATCTGACCTCCTTTAAACATTATTTGTACTTTTCCCAATAAACTATTGCGTAATTTATTAGTTATTAAGTGGAAATAGAAATTTGGAATGGGGCTGTCCTTAGCGTCATTAAGCTGACAGGAATACAGTGCATTCAGCTTGTAGAGACCCTTCCAGTCCCACGAAGAGCGAAGTCTCACTGGCCAATCAAAACAATGAACTCTTAATGAAAGTTTTCTTGCTCCACCCACTTGGTGACCTAATTTGAAAAATAAAAAATCCGCGCCAACTCATGTTGTTTTCAATCAGGTCCGCCAAGTTTGTATATAAGGGACTGTGTGCGTTCATAACTTCCAATGCTGTGGGAATCATGTCTGGTCGTGGCAAAGGCGGAAAAGGATTGGGGAAGGGTGGTGCTAAGCGCCATCGTAAGGTGCTCCGGGATAACATCCAGGGCATCACAAAGCCGGCTATTCGCCGTTTGGCTCGGCGCGGTGGCGTCAAGCGCATTTCCGGTCTCATCTATGAGGAAACTCGAGGTGTGCTGAAGGTTTTCTTAGAGAACGTTATTCGAGACGCTGTTACCTATACGGAGCACGCCAAGCGCAAAACTGTCACAGCCATGGATGTAGTATATGCTCTAAAACGTCAGGGGCGCACTCTGTATGGCTTCGGCGGCTGAATCTAAGAATACGCGGTCTCCTGGAACTTCAAAAAAAACAAAAAAGGCCCTTTTCAGGGCCGCTCACAAAGTCGTCTAAAGAGCTGAAATGCGTTGCGAGAATGTGAGTCTGAATGGCAGAATTCACTGATAACTTGAATAAGAATGATCTGTGTTTACAATGACCGGCCACATTCTGACAAAATTTTGAAGCAGAAAGTAGGCATAGAGAGGTAAGCGCTAGTAAAGTGTCTCCAGAAAAGAAGCATTTGCTGGGCACAGTGGGTCACAATTGTAATCCAAGCCCTTTGGTAGGCCAAGGCGGGTGAATCACGTGGTCGGGCGTTCAAGACCAGCCTGGCCAAGACGGCCAAACCCCAGTCTACTAAAAATACAAGTTAGCCGGGTGTGGTGGCAGGCGCCTGTAATCCCAGCTACTTGGGAGGCTGAGCCAGAGAACTGCTTGAACCCGGGAGACGGAGGTTGCAGTGAGCCGAGATTGTGCCACTGCACTCCATGCACTCCAGCCTGGGTGACAGCTGGGTGACAGATTGAGTCTCCATCAAAAAAAAGAAAAAAAAAAAGTGGTCGTAATAATCCTCAGAACTGGAGGAAGAACCATAAGTGGTTGATTTTGTTTTTAACCTTATGTATGCCAGGCATGCTAGCCTTGTATACACACAAGGCTAAAGGAGCAAAGGTGCAGGAAGCCATCTTGAGAGATTCGCATATTCTTGAGAGACTGGCCAGCTGCTGAGAGAAGTCAGTTGTTCATCCTCACTGTATATGATGAAAATCTGGTGACAGTCGATTGCTGGGCACAGAATTTAGACAAAAGGGCTCTCTGCTATGTCAGGCAAGTGAGGCATATTTTTGCACAATCCTTGTAATTCCAAACTCATTGGGAAACAATACAATTACATCCAAACAGGAAAGGTCTGTGGTTGATTTTATCTATACAAGTTTAAAACATAATGTTTAGTTGTTTCTCATTATAGGACACAACTTAATTTTTAAAAAGATTCCAAACTATACAAATAAGTTCAGAAAAGTGAGGTACTATTGAACCGTCTGGAAAACATACATGTCTGTGAAATAATGCAATGCATAGTTTTGCAGGGGACTTTGTTCAAAGTTTCTCGAAATACCATGGTCCAAGATAGACTAACATTGACTGAATATTTTTGATGGTCGGTAAGAATACTAAATCATAAATCAAGGGAAAATTAAACTATGTTTGTTTAAAGAGAAATGTACTTTAGCTCAGACCCCGAGACTTAAAACAATTTTGTGATTCAGGAAGGTTGAATTCAGACCCTAACTGGGCAGCCTCCAACATTTTCATTAAGGTTTGGATTCTTAAAATTTTTCAGTCTTCAGAATGCTCTGGCAGTCTGATGAAACCTACACTTTTTTTTTTTTTTTTTTTTTTTTGAGACGGAGTCTCGCTCTGTCACCCAGGCTGGTGTGTGCAGTGGCGCGATCTCAGCTCACTGCAAGCTCCACCTCCCAGGTTCACGCCATTCTCCTGCCTCTGCCTCCTGAGTTAGCTGGGACTACAGGCACCCGCCACCACGCCCAGCTAACTTTTTTGTATTTTTAGTAGAGATGGGGTTTCACCGTGTTAGCCAGGATGGTCTCGATCTCCTGACCTCGTGATCCGCCTGCCTCGGCCTCCCAAACTGCTGGGGTTACAAGCGTAAGCCACCACGTCCGACCCAGATTATTTTCATAAATAAGATACTTAAAGTAATTCATAAGGTTACAACTGTATTAGATCAATAATATTAAAATAATTACCAAACCACTTGACAGTGTGTTTTTGTTGATATATCAAATATAAATAAGCAAGCATGATTTTCAAGATTCTTGCAACAACTATAACCTACAAATTGGTTATTTCAATCAGTCACACTCAATGGAAGAAAATTCTAAATTTCAGCTAGTTAATGAATAGATGAAAAAAAAAAAAAAACTCCCCTAATCCATATTCTGGGACACCTTGATTCCTATTTATTCATCCCTTGAAGTCGGTGGACAGCATATTAAGAAACAATAGTTATAATGACACCACAGAAAGACTAGAATGTAGTACTTGTGTTTAAAAATAAAAGTATCAGCAAATTGTTTGGATGCTGAATTGCTCTCCACTCCCTTCTTTGACACTGGCATTTCCAGAACTTAGATGCTCTTATATGTAAAAGCCTACTCTAGTGCACCATTGAGTTTTTCAGGATTGGACATCAGATTTTGTAGTTCTTGGACCTCTAGGTATACACCACGTCTCTGACAAGAAGCCCTTTTTCTTTTTTAACTTTCTTTTTTTTTTTTTTAAGTTTTGAGACAAGGTCTCACTGTCATCCAGGCTGGAGTGAAGTAGTACGATCACAGCTCACTGTATCCTTAAAATCCTGGGCACAGGGACTAAGGGAGCGTGCCAACCATGCTTGACTAATTTACTTTTTTGTAAAACCAGTAGTCTCCAACCTTTTTGACACCAGAGACTGGTTTTGTCTAAGACAAATATACTGCGGACGAGGGGATGCAGGGGCTGGGGGCGATGGTTTCCAGACTAAAACTGCTCCAACCTCAGATCATCAGGCATTAGATTGTCACAAGGAGCCTGAAAGCTAGTTCCCTTGCATGCGCCATTCACAATACGGTTTGAGCTTATGAGAATCTAATGCTGCAGCTAACCTAACAGGCGGTGCAGCTCAGGTGGTTAATGTTCACTCACCCCTCAGCTGTGTGGCCCAATTCATAACGTGCCACCGACAAGAACCGGTACCGGTCGGTGGCCAGGGGAAATGGGGACCACTGGTATAGATGGTAGTCCGGCTATATTGCGCAGGATGGTCTTGAATCCTGGACTGAATTCTCCCACCTCAAGACTTTTCAACTCAGCTGCATCACAACTTAAACCTATAGTTAACTGTCATAGAAATTAAGTTTCCAGTGTTACGCCATTTTAAAATAATGTGGGTGGCTCTTAAAAGAGCCTTTGGGTTCTTTCGAAATCGGCCTCCTGGAAAGCTCTTTACTTCCTAGATGTGGCCTTTCTAATATTAGCTTTATGATGTTGAGTCAATTTTGGCTTCGTGGCCCTTGCCTTCACTGGGCTCTTCTGCTGTTGCTTACCCTTGGCTCCTTTAGCCTTTCTCCCGCTCCTAACAGCTTTTTTAGGAGCTGTCGCTCTCGGTTTCTTGGCTCTCTTATTGGTTTTAGCAGTCTTTGGTGACTTGGAGTCCCTGGATAAAACCAGCTTCTTGGTCTTGGCAGAAGCTGACTTGTTAGCCTTCCTTCTGGTAGATTTAGGAAGGACCTTCTTACTAAGCTTAAAGGAACCGGAGGCACCAGTACCCCTGGTTTGCACCAGGATTCCCTTGTTCACTAAGCTCTTGAGGGACAGTTTAATGCGGCTGTTATTCTTCTCCACGTCGTAGCCAGCAGCAGCCAGTGCCTTCTTGAGCGCAGCCAGAGACATACCTACTCGTTCCTGTGACACTGAAAGGGCCTCGGTGATCAACTTGGACACAGAGAGGTTCGGTGCTTTGCGACTTGCACTTGTCAAGCCAGCCGGCTTCTTCCCTCTTTTCTTGGTTAGAGGTTTCTCCATGACGGCTGGAACAGCACCGGCAGAAGCTGCAGGTACGGTTTCAGACATAACAGCAGAGAAACACAAAATGTAATAACCAGCGAAAAGCGTAAAGCGCCGCGGGGCCGCGGGCCCTTATATAGGGTAGGGCGCGCTGTGATTGGTGCATCACCTAGGCACCGCCCCCGCCCCTTGGAGGAGGAGTATTTGTGTTTGTTTTACCCGGAAAAGTTGACTATAACAAACCCCCTCTGTACAGAATCTCCCAGGGTCTAGTGCTGAATGACCTGGGGAGATTCATATTTCACATGACTTTTCGCTTTTTAATGAAAAATGACCCTGGATGCCAAAACTATTCGAGAAAGCCCTCGATTTTCAGTCAAATCAAGGAGAGGAACAAAACTTCCCCTTTCCCTTGTAAATTAATAAGTAATTTTTGGCAGAAGACTTATTTCATCTCTTCAGAGTGGTCTTCCAAATGAATAGCTTCAAATCGGTAGAGGACATAAATTATTCACGCCATGATTTTTATTTAAAATTATTTATATATGTGATGGAAGTAACACAGATCTCTTAGTTGTCTAATTGCAGAGTCACAAAATGCTTATAGAATTTTCAAAAGACTGCAGAGGATGTCTTTATTTAGGCATGTGCAATCTAATAAACCATAATCCACAGGAACATGGGTTGTCTGTGATTAAAGGTGCTCCCAAGTCACTGTAGCTTTATAGAGAACTCTCAAGGATGGGGTAATATCAAGATCTCACACATTACGTAAGATTGGCCATAATCAGGCCACTCTCATGACCGGTGTCCTCAACTGAGTTTTGCTTATGGTTTCATTAATTGAAGTCCCCTCTATACCCCTGCCTACCCCTACCTCCCCAGATAAACCAACACAGCCCCTCCCCTAAATTAACTATAAAACATGAGGTAGGAACCCTAGACTCAAGAACCTACTGGAAACTACAGACCCCATGTCTAACAAGACTGGGCAGGTTGGCTGGGTGCAGTGGTTCATGCCTATAATCCCAGCACTTCCAGAGGCTGGAGGCCAGGAGTTCAAGACTAAGTTGGCCTGGTCCCTACCAGAAAAAAAAAAAAATTAGCTGGGTGTGGTGGCACATGCCTGCAGTCCCAGCTTCTGGGTAGACTGAAAAGGATCACTTAGAGCCCAGGAGTTTGAGGTTGCAGCTACTGTAGTCCAGCCTGGGCAGACCCCCATCTCTGAATTGCTTAATTAATTAATTAATTAACTGAGCTGGCAGATTTGGCTGCATAGCTGTGGGGAAAGGGTTGTTGGAATAATGTCCACTATGCTCCCCTGAGCTTCTACTGGAACAGGTCTTTGTGAGAGGCCTGGAGATAAGAGATTGCTCACAAAGGCCAAGGCCTTTCTGGGATGCTGAGTGAGTTTCCTGTGGTCACAGCCTAGGGTCTCAGCAAAGGAAAACTCCATAAGGG